ATTGGTTTCAACATGGAAAAGTGTTTAGTAGATTGTGAAGCCTGTTTGTGTTCCATTAGAGTCTGCTTGTGCTACAGCTGATTAATGCCTTTTGAAATAGTATGATCATCTGTGGTGCTGATCAAGATACATTTTAAATCACTTCTCATTTGTCTTACAAACTTTGTCAGAGGAATGAACTAAATTCTAATGTTTTGAGTTTACACTGCATTTCCTCCTGAAGCGTGTTTTCACAAATGTGATTTTTCCCTTGGGCTGTGTCTACATTGGCACGATCTTGCGCAAAAGCAGTCGCTTTTGTGCAAAAATGTGCTGCCTGTCTACACTGACCGCAAGTTCTTGCGCAAGTAAACTGACGTTATAATGTATGAAATCAGTGCTTCTTGCGCAAGAACTCTGATGCTCCTGCTCAGGAATAAGCCCTCTTGCGCAACTATTCTTGCACAAGAGGCCAGTGTAGACAGGCAACATGAATTTATTGCGCAAGAAAGCCCTATGGTTAAAATGCTCATCAGAGCTTTCTTGCACAAGAGGGCGTCTACACTGGCATGGATGCTCTTGTGCAAAAGCACATCTCTTGCACAAACGCACATGCCAGTGTAGACGCTCTCTTCTGGAAGAGTTTTTGCACAAGAACTCTTCTGCAAAAGAGTTATTGCGCAAGATCATGCCACTGTAGAGGTAGCCTTGTTGTATATAGTTTGAATGTTATGATAAAGGTCCTAAAGGGAACAGTGAAATAACCTAAAATTAACTAATTTTGTGACTGTAGTAATCTTTTCTTATCTTGTTAGTATTAATTATTCTAAAACAATATACGTGTCAGGAAATAAAAATATGAAACAGCCAACAAAAGCCAATATAACCCCTCATTTCATGTTTATTCTCTGGTAAATTGGATTTGGGAATTGGAAATCTTGTAGTTGGAACGAAGAGTTTTCAGATGTAGTGATTTACACTGACCTGTCTTCTGGGTCCTGGCCAACCATAAATTAACGTGTTGTATTTTGAATAATATGAGAAATTTAATGGTTTGTACATGTTATTGCTCATCCACCATGAGCATTTTGTAGTCTTGTTAGTTTAATAAAGATACTTTCCCCTTAAACTGTATGTAGAAAGCTGCCATGAGTAAATTATTTTTGGAGAAGTTAAAAATTATGTAATATACAGATACAGAGCCATATCCTCAGTATAAATCATTGATGCTCATTGGTTTATATCAGTTGTGGTTCTGGTGGGAAGACTTTTAAGGGATTGATCAAAATTGTGTGCTTCTAATGTCAGAGAGAAGTATATTGTACTTTGTGTATGTACAGCACCTCGCACAGTGGGGCCATGATCACATTTGGGATATCTAGGCTCTAGTGTAATACAAAAATATGAATATTACTGGTAGATTTAAATTTGTATCCCTTTGATTCACAGGTATGGGGAAGCATGGTCAACAAGTTTCAGATCTGCAACTTCTTTTGAGTCCCGTCCCACCATGTATATTATGCATGCCCGATGGTTATGTTTTTGATCTTGTAGTAGAGACAGCATCAGGAAATGTAGGATATTAGGACACTGATGCATAGGGAGATGAGCAACTAGTTGGGAGCAAATATTGGAGTATGGAGGCCCCTTTAGAAAGTAGATCAGAATTGCCCAGAACCCGAATCCCCAGTACCCAGAATTTTGGAAGCTCTTCAAGAGTTCAATGGCTGGATGATATGATGTAATCAATAATTTGCTATAATGCTAGATGGAGAAAAAAAGGTAGTGAGCAATGTACTCTTCTTTTGAGAGAGAGTGATAGGATTATATCTCATTTTCTAAAATCAAGGAAGACATCAGTCTTCTGTGCCTAGCTAGATTTGATTACTTGTCCTTCTTGTTACCTTTCTGTTATGTATGTGATAAGACTAAGAGTATAACCTTTTTACCTGTCTACCAAATCCGTATTTCATTGTTGGATCCGGATATTAAAATTAAGATCAGTCTGAACAGAACAACATTTGTCAGGAATTATTAATTGTCATGGTTAATGGAGCTTGTAACTTGCAGTACCGCTTCAAGCAAATCCTTCCCCCATATAAAAGAGAACTCTGAATGTACTAGGTGCTTTTTATAGTGGCTTATAAAGGTTTTAGGCATCTGGATACATTTTGTTTTAATGGAAAGTACCCGAGTAAATCTATTTGCTTTAGCAACTACCCTATAAATGTTTTAATAAACAAGGCTATTATCTCTAATGGGTTAAGTGATCAGAGAACTGGCTTTCGTATTGTACTCGCAGTAGCACAACAGCAATTATTTAATGCGTGAAAAAGTTTGGTCAAGTTATTTGATCAATGTCTTTGTCAAGTATACATACTGGCTGTGTCTAGACTGGCAAGTTTTTCCAGAAAATCAGCAGCTTTTCCGGAAAAACTTGCCAGCTGTCTACACTGGCCACTTGAATTTCCGGAAAAGCACTGACGATCTCATGTAAAATCATCAGTGCTTTTCCGGAAAAACTATGCTGCTCCCGTTCGAGCAAAAGTCTTTTTCCGAAAGACTTTTGCCCAAAAGGGCCAGTGTAGACAGCATAGTAATGTTTTCCACAAAAAAGCCCTGATCGCGAAAATGGCGATCGGGGCTTTTTTGCGGAAAATCGCGTCTAGATTGGCCACGGACGCTTTTCCGCAAAAAGTACTTTTGCGGAAAAGCATCCTGCCAATCTAGACGCGCTTTTCCGAAAATGCTTTTAACGGAAAACTTTCCCGTTAAAAGCATTTTCGGAAATTCATGCCAGTGTAGACGTAGCCACTGGATCTTTGAGATGGTTATATGTGAAAAGCTGAGACTATGTGCTCAGTTATCTTAGTATCCATGTACAGGCAGTCCCCGGGTTACGTACAAGATAGGGACTGTAGGTTTGTTCTTAAGTTGAATCTGTATGTAAGTCGGAACTGGCGTCCAGATTCAGACACTGCTGAAACTGACCGCCAGTTCTGACTTACATACAGAATCAACTTAAGAACCCCAGGCGTCCCCAAGTCAGCTGCTGCTGAAACTGATCAGCAGCTGATTCCAGGAAGCCCCGGGCAGAGCAACTCT